GCTGCAAAGTACCTCAACGGCGCCAAAGTGGGCGTCAATTACCAGATTCCCTACTCCCTAACACATCTTCCTTTTTTGCAGTGGTTCAGATAAAGTTTTTTAATTTGTAGTTGATTTTTTAAACAATTTGTTACATTTATTTATTTTATTGCCATTTATCAGATTCCATATGGCGCTACAGAGCTGAGCCCAGGTAATGATGATGATAATCTATTTTTTATTTTTTGTTATAACTGTAATTTAAAAACATTGGATAGTGGTTACAATGACGTCAATCAGAGACAGTGAACAACGACAGGCTGAAACGGTTGGCCGTCCACTTGACTACGTCGAGGTGAAAGTGGTCGATCCGGTCACCAGGCAAATAGTGCCTCGTGGGGAGCGCGGTGAGGTGTGCATTCGAGGACACTGCACTTTTCCGGGCTACTTCAAACAAGAAGATCGGACGAAGGAGGTTCTGGATAGAAACGGATGGTACAGTACAGGGTAAAAGACTGCTTGAAAATTAGAATAAAGTTGCTTCCAATAAAATGTGACTAATTGAAAACGCAGAGATATCGGCCACCTTGACAACGAAGGCTACCTGAGCATTTCTGGTCGCATCAAGGAGATGATAATTCGAGGTGGGGAGAACATTTATCCGCGTGAAGTGGAGGAGACAATTCTGCAGCATCCATCAGTAGAGGATGTTCACGTGAGTCATAATAATTACCATTTTTTGTTTTTAACTTTTTGTGCATTTATTTTTAGGTCGTTGGCGTTCCTGATAAACGATTTGGCGAAGAGGTGGCCGCCTATGTTAAGCTAAAGCAGGGTGTCCCTTCAATGACTGCCGCTGAGTTGAAAGAGTACCTCAAACCTAAAGTATACTTTCCATTTGAAAATGTGTACTTTTTTGGATTAACATTTTGTTTTTGTTAGGTAAGTCACTTCAAAATTCCAAGATACTACCGATTTGTGGATGACTATCCACGAACGGTGACGGGAAAGGTTCGCAAGGTTGAACTGAAGGAGATTGCAGCCAAAGAGGACTTCTCCAAAGACTAACTAGTCAATTAGTTTAACTTTTATAAAAACAATTCAATATAAATTACAATAATTTAAAAATAAAAATATATCACAAATAAACAACAGATGTTTTCATTCATCTCCACCATATCAACTACTAATTCTTCTTTCCTAGAAAGTGTCTTTGCAGATCTTCCAGCGAACGATCCTTCGTCTCCGGCACAAGGAAGATGGTGTAGAAGATGGACACTACGCTGAAACCGGTGAAGAACCAGTAGGCGCCCGGCTTGGTCAGCGTCTTGATCAGCCACTCAAACTCCTTGGTGATGATGAAGGCGCACAGCCAATTGCTGGCACTGCCAATTGAGCTGACAAAAGGCACACCCTCCGGGGGCGTACAATCGTAGCAGAGAACCCAGGCGAGCGGGCCCCAGCCAAAGCTGAAGAAGATGACGAAGACCATCAGTGCGGTAACCGGAATCCAGCCGTGGGCGGGGAAGATGACCTTGTAGTAGAGGCCCATCATCGCCAGGCTGACCACGTGGCCTGCACTGCTGGTGAGCAGGAGCGTCTTGCGGCCAAACTTGTTCATGACCAGGGCGCTGACGATGGTGGCGCCCACCAGAGCGGCGTCCACCATGATGGCGGCGATGTTCGGGTCGAGGCTGCTGCCGCCCTCTGTGAAGATGCTCTTCAGGTAGAACATGACGGCGTTCACGCCGCTGAACTGCTGGAAGACCATCAACATGACGGCGATGATGGCCGGTTTGTAGATATCAGCACGACGGACGATGCTCAGACCGCCGCCCGACTGCGCCTGGTTCGCCTGCACTCGCTCCTGCAGCTCCTTCAGCTCGCCGCTCATGTCGCTCTCCTTGGCGCGAATCACCTCGAGCACCTCGAGCGCCTCGCTGTGCCGTCCTAGCTCCACAAGTCTGACGGGCGACTCCGGCGAGAAGACCATGCCCAGCGAGCAGACGATCGCCGGCACGATGGACACGTAGGCGAGGGTGTTCCACTCGAGGAAGGTGCCAAAACAGATCAGGTACAGCTGACCGACGCAAATCATGATCTGGAAACCGGTGCTGAGGAAACCTCTCGTCTTCGGCGTCACCAGGTCGCTCACATAACCGGGAGCGGTGCTGCAGATCACCCCAGAGACAAGGCCGGTGATGGCACGCCCCACGATGATGATTGTAAAGTTTTTGGCAAAACTGCAAAAGAATGAATTGGTAAGTCATTTTGTTTTGTTTTGTTTTGATCATCTCAATCTCAACACATACCAGATGACTGCCCAGCCGGCAATGAGCGGCACGCCCAGGCCGATGAGCGTCTTTCGACTGCCGAGGAACTTGATGATGAAGCCGCTGAGGAAGCTGCCCGCCAGAGCGGCCAGTGTAATGCAGCTGCTCATCCAGGTTTCGTACTCCTCATCATCAGGGTGCACCTCGGTGCCGTTGTTTATCAGGCGAATCTGTGGCGTACTGTCCGTCTTCTTCATGCTGTCAATTGCCGTGCCACTCCAGCCTGTTGCAAAGTCACAAAAGGTTAACGGTCATTAGGTTCCAAAAATCTTTTTACTTACCAATGACACAACCCATTGCCATTGCACTGCAGAGGGCAAAGAAGACTGAGAGAAACATTCTTATTGAAGCGATGCGTTCCATCGTTAATTGATTGATTTAGGAGGATATAATTAAACAGACGAAGGTCTTTAATTTAAATTTAATGATTTTTTAAAGCTAGTTTAGATAGACTGAGTGAAGACTGAGTATTGCTGAATAGGTCGGGGTAGTGTGCAGTATGGGGAGATGATAGTGCTGATGATGATCAAATTAAAATTTAAAAACTAAGGTGAAAAAGTGAAATTAAAAAAGAACAGCGGCCGGCCGGTGGGTGCCGTCGGTGGTGATGGTGGAGCACGTGTAAGAGCAGCTGCAATTGAGAAGGCTACTTAAATGGCTACCTGGAGACACACCAGTGGTCTGAGGCGGGATGAGACGACACAGTGATCAGTGAGTGATCGCTTGACGCAACAATTATGTGAGAGTTATGTGTGGTGTCTGTGGGGTAAGAATGAAAATCAAAGCCACCGTATAGTGATCTTCATTTTCCTTTTATACAGCTTACTTCTACACAACGGAGGCTGATTAGATTTACCTGCAGCGGATTTATCAGTAAGAGGTAGGTATTAAATTGCGGCAAACAATTTTGACACTTTCTCAGAGACATTTGCACAACATCAAGCGAGAGAACAAAATCTGCTTTTGAAGGGCACAAAGTGTAGTCCCGGTTAAAATAAGTTCAAGGCTTTGTTTCTCTGTTTGTTGGGCAGTTGCTGGCCTTATCAATCTGTTCTCTAAGATTTACCCTGCTGATAACTCAGCTGAGCAGCACACTCTGCACGTCAACTGATTAACTTGTTTGATCAGTGCCGAAACAGGCGGAAAGAATAGTAGAGATGCTTTCACTTTCTCTCTTCTTTGCCTAGTTGGCCATGTCCGGCAGTAGAAAGTGTCTGTCTCTGTGATGTTTGGTCTACAGGGCCAAAGTCAAGTGCAACTAAACCTGGTGATTGTGTTCGGCGGCGGCAGTGTCAATTGGCAAACCTCAATAGACCAGATCAAATCAGATGAGGGCGCAATCATCCGCGATACCGGCTTTGCACTTAGCTTTTGCAGTGATTAGCAGCTTATTAATTAGTTAATCAGGTGATTAGTTGCCGCTGCGCTAACACACAGCTCCTTAGTGTTTGTGGTCTGACTAGTTGGACAAAACCGCAGGTGGCTATCTGGTGGTAGTTTTATCTTACCACTATTGGAACATTTAGTACGATACCAAACTGGATACTAAACGTGTCCAGATTAGCAGAGGAGTCAGAAATGCAAGAAATTGAGGAAAACAATCGATCAGCTTTGAAGGTAGTGGCAGATAAGTTTAAAATTTACCCAAAAGAAAAACAAACGGGCACTTGTAAAAATGCAGGTAAATTCATAAGATTTTTTGCTTGCTTTCAAATAACTTAAATTGCTTGCATTTTTAAAATTTTTGTTGTTTGTATTCTTAGCTGCATGTGATGAATGCGTGATAAAGTGAGATCAGTCATCTGAAGTAGATAAATCGTATCAAGAAGTGTAAGAAGAAAGTCAAGAAAAAAGTAAGTAAAGTGTAAACAAGCGTAGAAAAGTTCAGGTAAAGACATTGTGCAAATGTGTTATGACAAACTGAAGAGAGTATTACAAACTGTTTTCAACTGCTGATGATTGTTTAGTGTTCAATTAAATGTATTAATACTTAAAATATTTGGCAAAATATTACGGGTTTGTAAAGAAAAAGAGGGAGAGAGAACTTCAATTAACACTGGAGTAGTCATTCTCCTCCGGTTGCTGCTTGGCTGCCGTTCCATTGCCATTTCTCCTGATCTCCCCCAGTGGCTCTTGTTGATCTTCAGAGAGGAAACGCATCAGCGACGGCGGTGCAAAATACTCATTGCCCGGAGTGCCATCGTGCCGGTTCATGTCTTGACAGAAACAGAGGAACATCGCGTCAATGACCATCTCGTAGACGGAAAGCAAACAGTGCGCCACCCAAAAGGCGAACAGTGACATGAGAATGACGGGCACGGTCCAGTAGTGCAGAGAGGGGTTCGACTGAATAGAGGAAACGAAGTTGGCTTAGTTTTTAGTTCCAAGTTTTAACCGCTTTTTCGTACGTACCCGAACTAGAAAGATGCCGACGATGGCAGTGAGCACGGCCACTGAAAGCTTTCCCAGAAAGAGGATAAAGTCTCCGATGGAGTTGATGGCCGCCACGCGAATGGCATTGGAGAGCAACGCCTGAAAGGCCAGTCGAGCACTGGTGCAAAAGTCCGTCCGCTCAATGACCACCACGGTGTAGGCGTTTCGACTGAGGTAGGCGAGAAAGCGCTCCACCATCCACAGACAGCAGGTGCAGGCTTGCAGCATGCCCCGGGCGACGGCACTGCCCCTCTCCTCGTGCTGTCGCAGTCGACTGGTGATCTGCTGAATGATCAGTCGAGGCAGCTTGAAGAGGGTGATCAGGAAGGAGCCCAGCGCCACCGAGCCCAGGTGCCGGCGGAAGAGGTCGCAGATAGAGCCGCTGATGGGCGACTCGAGGCGCTCTCGGTTGCGGCTGAAGTACCAGTTGGAAACCGCTCCGGCGATGACCATCTGCTGACAGCTGAGGATGAACTCGCTGATCCAGATGAGGGCAATCACCAGGTACCACCACATGTAGTGGATCCAACTGAGGGAGTTGCCGCCGTTGTAGGAGATCAGCGTGTACGGCGACAGCTGCGTCGTCTTCATCAGCGCACTGGCGGGGTCGGTGTGCTGAGACTGGTAGGGAAAAAAGTGATTAGAGAAGTCTTTTTTAAAAAAAGAGACAAAAACATTCTTACCTGCAAGTATCGACTCTCCCTGGAGGCGTGATTCGCCGTAGAGAGGGCCATCATGGTGAGCAACCAGGCGAAGAGAAAGCTGACCAGGACGATCAACGTCCAGAGCGGCTGAATGAGCAACAGTGGCATGCAGCGAATGCAGGCGGCCGTCTCGTGAAAAAGCGCCACCACAAAGCGAACATGAGAGCGCAGTGTGCTGGCCGCGTAGAGGATGACCAGCGTGAAAACGGTGCAGATGATGGCCACCGTCAAGATGATCGACTCATTGTCGGCGTCTTCCGGCAGGAAAAACGGTATCTTCTCGTGCACCTTGAACGTCTCCAGGCGGTAGTGTACGTCAATGTATGTCCACCAGAAGAGGGCGGTGATCAGACAGAGAAGAATTGAGATGGTCAGCAGGATGATCCACGAGGCGATGGAGGCCACAAAGTGAATGACAAAGGCGGAGACGAAGCTGCCCACCAGTGCCACCGCCCCCATGATGGCCATCTCCTCGTAGGCGTTGCAGACGTCACTGATGATCTTCTTCAGTGGAACGTAAGAGGAGATGAAGTCGTAGAGAGAGTGGCCTAGAGCTAAGCCTTGGGTGATGGCCAGCTCTGGTACGCAGTGGTACAGCAGTGGGCGGCTGTGGAAGTAAAATACTTTGATTACAAAAAGATCTTTTCAAAAGACAGCTTTACAATACTTACGTGGGCACGACTGGCAGCACCGGACAGAGGCCAGTCTCGTTGATGGTGGAGAGGGCATTCGGATCTCTGAACGGCTCCCGATACCGGTCAAAACTGTAGCGGTCCTTCTCCTCAATGTACGGCTGGTAGACTGGATTGGAGCGTATAGCCGCCGCGTTGGTAAAGTCAAAGTCGTACCGACAAAGTGAGGAGTTGGTACGCGTGTAGAAAAGGTAAATCTCGGCCATGTTCGAGAGGTGTTCGCGAGGACACCGACGGACGCATATTTTCACTGACTTTTGGGGCTCGTTTTGGTTTAGGTGGAAGAGGTAGCTGAGTTTGAGGATTGGGAAATTGTGTGTTATTTTAGTTGGTTTTATTACACTTGTTCGGCGCATCGCTTACGGTCGTTTGGACATGTCCAGTCCACTGAAAGGTAAATTGTCAAAGGGCTCGTTTCGGTGGCCGCAGACGTTGCCGAATGAATCAGAGCCATGTATCAGGCGCAGTGGACTGCCGACGATGAAGGCGTAAGTCGAAATGAATATCTGCAATTTAAAAAAAGTTAATAAAGAAAAATTAGGTAGCAAAAAGTGACTTACCAGTCCAAGCCAGAAGAGCAAGAAGAAGAGAAGAAAAGTAAAATCAGTACACCGGTTGCGTTTTGTCAGTGTGGCGTCCTGTGCATCTTGCACCTAAAACACAATTTAAACTGTTAGTACATTTTTGTTAGAACTCAAAAAAGTGCTCATCATTACCTCATTGGAGAAGCAGCAAAGGGCCGCCATGTCTATGTGTTGCCTTTTGTTTTCCGATCTAATTTACGGTTTCAATGACTGTCTTCTGGGCTGTGGTAAGTCGTGCGCCAAAAAATCTCAGTCGTCAGTACTGCAGATACTCCGACAAAACGAAGAGAAATGAAGGAAGAAGCCCACTTGAAAGAAGGTGATCATTTGAACAGCTGTTCAGTTCTCTGAATGTTGTGGTTTAGCCATTTCGGATGACATGATTGCAGCAAACAGGGCAACAGCAGTGATCGAGCTCTTCCGATCAAAGCCTAGGACTGAAGAAAAGAGCTGAGAAACAAAACTGAAGAAGGATAATTAGACGCACTGTTTGTTTGACTGTCTAGTGAGACAATTATCCAAATGGCAGTGAAAATGACAGAGAAAGCAATTTTTGAGAAAAGAAGAGATCATTGGAAATGTTATGTGCTTCTGGGCAACACTGAGAAAAATGTACGGATCAATACAGGTGGTGGTGGCCGTTGGTTCTTTGCGGGGGCTAATTATCGATTTGTCCCGCAGTAAAGTGCACGGCAAAAAGTGTACTCAGAGTGTATTCAAATCAGACGACACTTTATATTTGTTTTCTAGCTTAGGCAACAGTTTGGGGGCAACCATTACTGCTGTCGCTGCTATATAGAATTTGCCTTTTTTCTGTCAAACAATATCGACAAATAAGTGTGTCTCCTTTGCAGTGTTTATTTTACCAGTTCAAGGTTCAGAAAAGTGGGAGACAAACGGTGATCGATTGGCGACTTATCGAGTTGAAAAAGGAAAAAAGGACAAGAAACAAAACCTACCTTGAAAGGAAAGAAGACGCGGGAGATCAGTATCGGGCGCTGGTAGTGAAAGACGGAGAACACTGGCGCTTGACGAACACCGGTCACCGGTATTACGCGGGCTTTGCCGTTTGGTTGCTGCTGCTGTTGGCGAAGAAGAAGAAGAAGAAGGCGTCGCTGGTTCGACTGTTGTGCATTGTGTTGTTCACTGGTGCCTACAAACCATTTGCACAACTGCACTACCTACCTGCGGAGAGTGGCAGCTAATGATGTTGAGTGTTGCTGATTCAATGAGTCAGCCTCCTCTTTCTTTCTGCCTCCCTCCCTTCACTGGTCACTCACTCAGTCATTCACTCAGCCAGTCAGTTGCTTCCTAGTCAAAACACAAAGACACATGGCCAGACTGAGGGTAGCTGCTGCTGC